AGTTACTTGACCTTGCTATCTGTGAGTAGGGGAAGTCAAGAGATGGTGCCAGGGAGCAGAAAGAACTCTTTTTTAAGCACAAGTTTGTACACCTCTATCACTTGACTCTTAGGAGGAGCACTTCACTTCTATAATGACAAAACTAAAATGCCTATTTAAAGCAGCTATACTCATGCCCCGAAGAAAGATATTATGCTTGGTAAAGTGGAAGGTCATGGAAAAAGGGGAAGGCCATCGCGGAGATGCATTGACACGGTGGCTGCAACAGTGGGCTCAGGTGTAGCAGGGATTGTGAAGCTGGTGCAGGGCCCGGCAGTGTTTCCTTCTGTTGTACATAGGGTCGGTGAGTCGAAGCCGACTGGATGGCACTTAACAACACACTCTAAACGCTTTTCCCTCCCTGTGGCATGATTTGTGTTTCACTTTCGAACTTTCTATTCCTGAAGCGGGAAGGTGAGGAGACACAGCAACCCTTCAATGATTACAAAGTTGGAGCTCGGCGAGCCGCAACCTGGCCCCTACAGACGCCGAGACTGCTTTCACGTCCAGCTGGGGTCAGGAGCAAGGCCAAAACAGTGCGAAAACTAGGAAATAGCCCTACGCCCGCAGATTGAGGCGCGGGACGCTTGGCCGTCGCTCACTCGCTTCCGCCAATGAATGCCTAGGTGGGCGGGCTTTCAGGAAGCAGAGATTCAATTGGTCGTGAAGTCTCTCTGTCTGGCGGTGGGCGGGGCAACGTGGTGACGTCCCGGCACGGGGCGCAAAGTGCGCGGTCGCAGACGCGGCGGCATTAAACTGCTACAGATCCAGCGGGGTGGTTGCAGTCTTTCTAGGTCTCTAGCGTCCATAACTCGCTGAGCTTCCTGAGGCCTCAGCCGTCTAGACCTCCCTACTTCCCACTCGACTGCGTCGTTGTGACTCCGCCACCATGTTCGAGGCACGCCTGGTCCAGGGCTCGATCCTGAAGAAGGTGCTAGAGGCGCTCAAGGACCTCATCAACGAGGCCTGTTGGGACATCAGCTCGAGCGGCGTTAACCTGCAGAGTATGGACTCGTCTCACGTTTCTTTGGTGCAGCTCACTCTGCGTTCCGAGGGCTTCGATACCTACCGCTGCGACCGCAACCTAGCCATGGGCGTGAACCTCACCAGGTGAGTCCTGGGTAGCGCCGAGCCCGGCTCCGGCCTCTCCCTCTCGGACTTTGGCGGGATAGTCTCTGAACCAGGTTCTCATTGGCTGGCACGGGCCACCCTCGCTTTCTCATTGGCCTACGGCGCTGTGGGGGCAGAGCCCAGCAGAGTGCGCGGTACGGAAAAGCCCGCGCTGGCGGCCGCGGGAACCCCCTCTTTCCGCGCCAAAGTCACAAAGCGCGTGGTGGCGGGAAAATGAGTCACTTCTCTGCGATGTTAGGAAAAGGCTATCCCTTAGCTCTGTGGTTATTACATGCCAGTGGTCTTGCATGGGAAACCTTGCTCAAGGTTGAGTTTTAACCGCTCTGTAGCGTGCCCTAGAGAAAGTGTATCTATAACCCAGAATGTACTGGGTTTTACTATTTAATAACGCTGCAGAGAGCATCCTGAGATCCTAGACTTGTGGAAGATTTCTCCAGAGCAGTAGCTTTCAACTTTATTGAACGACATTTTTTGTTATCTAGTATTCAATGTTGTTGTTGTTGTTGTTATGTGCCGTCAAGTCACATTTTAAAATAAAAGTCGTGAGAAGTATGCGGCTATACTACATACTCAATGCTATCGAGTCGGACCCGACTCATAGCGACCTCTCTTTGATTTTCCTAGGCAGTATCTCTAGGGAAGTAGATTGCCCAGTCTTCCTTACAAAGAGTGGCTGGTGAGTTTGAACCGCCGGCCTTCTGGTTAGAAAATGCCTTAGGCACTATGCTACCAGAGCTCCCAGTATTTGATGTTAACATTTTAAAATAAAAGCTTGCGAGAAGTATTTAGCCATAGTATATGCCATGTGTAAATTTAATAGGTTTATTAGATTATTTTCATGGTGGTTAAAAACCAAACTAGAGTGCCATGGAGTCCATGCTGACTCATAGCGACCCCCATTGGGTTTCCAAGGCTGCAAATCTTTAGGGAAGGGAAGCAGACTGCCTCATCTTCCCGTGAGCAGCTGGTAGGTTCCAACCACCACCCTTTTGGCTAGCAGCCAAATGCCTTAAGCAGTACACCACCAAAGCTCCTTTTCATGATCGTTGTGGCCCAGTAATTTATTTTGGCAGTCACTGAAGAGATTTGCAATTAGGAAAATACTCCTTTTTTAAATATAGGGTAGAAGTGAAATTGCTGGTCATAGGATGTGGGCAGTTTTAGTTAATGTCGATACAGCCAGATTGCATTCCAAAATAGCTGGAAAAGTTTACACATTCTCCAACAGTACGTTTGTCCTCTAATTCATCAGGCAGTTGAATGAGTGAAAATGGTAACACCTTAATTATTTAAATTGTGTTAGAAATCTTAACCTTTTTTAGAAGATGATGTTGGTTTTAAACCTTGTCTTCTGTGTTCTAGCATGTCCAAAATACTAAAATGTGCTGGAAATGAAGACATCATTACACTGAGGGCTGAAGATAATGCAGACACCTTGGCACTAGTATTTGAAGCACCAAGTAAGTCATGTCCTTTACTGAATTAGCTAGAGAAAATTAAAAAACAGTGTCTTTATTTCTAAAAGCTGGGAAAAATCTGATGTTTGGAATGGTTGTATAATTTATTTCATACTTAGAAACTTGCATGCTTTTCTTCAGCCATATTTCTTTTTGGTTTTTGGTAGACCAAGAAAAAGTTTCAGACTATGAAATGAAGTTAATGGATTTAGATGTTGAACAACTTGGAATTCCAGTGAGTATCAAAATTTCTGATTGAGTATACTGTATACATGCTAGTTACACGATGTTAGTACAATCAACACTAGTTTAAAACTTACATTGAGTATACTGTATACATTGCTAGTTACAAGGATGTTAGTACAATCAACACTAGTTTAAAACTTACACGTTTAAAGCCTACTTACCAAAGAACTTCTAGAAGCATTTCTGCTATGCATGATCCAAAATGGGCTTAATATTTGTACCGGCATTTTATTTAACCATGAGTCTAAAGTTAATCATTAGCTGAAATAGTTGCTGCCAAGTATGTGTGTTCAAATTAACCTGCATGCCTTTCTCTTTTGTTTTAAATTCCCTAATGCTTCATTTTTATTAATAGATTTCAAAGCTAATAGAAATTAGTTAGGGTTTATCAACATCAAAAAAAAGAAGAAAGGTTGTTTAAGTGTTTAAAATGGTTAGTTCCATATTCTCTTACCTTCTTTTAGAAGGCAATTAGGCTTGGTTTCTGTAACTTACTTTAACGCCTCTTGATTTAGCCCTGATAAATGATTGGGGATGGGGATAGGTGATTGTTGCCTGGATAGTTATTTATTGTTAAAGGTTTGAACTGTAATGTTTCTTAACCTACATATTCTTATAACATACTTATTTTCTGTATTTTTTGAGTGGTTGGAATATGTTACAGAATTGCACAATGAGGAATATTTCAAAGAAAATAACAACATTTAGATGTTGCCTCTTAGGGAAGTGAGGTAAATTTTTAATTTCCATCAATTAACCTTTGGATTTGTTTTATAGGAACAGGAGTATAGCTGTGTAGTAAAGATGCCTTCTGGTGAATTTGCACGTATATGCCGAGATCTCAGTCATATTGGAGATGCTGTTGTCATTTCTTGTGCAAAAGATGGAGTGAAATTTTCTGCAAGTGGAGAACTTGGAAATGGAAACATTAAATTGTCACAAACAAGTAATGTCGATAAAGAGGAGGAGGCTGTAAGTAGTTTTTAAGAAAATAAAAAATGCATTTTGAAGAAAATGGCAATACTTCTTTTAACAGCAGATTAGTTGCTGAAATTAGAGAAAATGCTAAAGAAAAATACTTGAAAGAAAAGTAGACAAATTGCATTTCCAAGTAACTAATTTGTGAGACTTGAAAGATACTGTTGAAAGCTGCAAGTGATTTGTAAGTGCCATCTAGCTTTTAATTAAATCTTAGATGGGTATACAAATGAAGTGCTCTTACAAACCATAGAACAGTGGGTTTGTAAATAAAACCTACACGCTTCAAAAATAGGATCGGGAAGCTAGATCTCTAGTTTGATGGGGGTATTTACTCTGCTTTTATCTTTTGACAAATAGTTGGCCATAAGAGAGCAACTAAACAGAAGGATCTGGTTTGGGGTAAACTTTGTCATTTTATTAATAATTTTGAACTTCTTGTTCTTTATGTAACACTTATAACTTTATATGGTAGGAAAACTGAGCAAAGTTAAGTGACTAACCAGAGTAGCAATCAAGGTTAAACGGGGGGATCTGTTCACTAAGGCTAGAAAAATTTCAATTGAAAGAGTGCTTAAAGAGCCCTCAATTAAACTTGACTTGTTAGCCTTGGAGCGTCAATAAACTCTGTAAACTGGGAACCATAAAAGGGTCTAACTTTACAGTTAGGAGTATTGTTGTTGTTGTTGTTATTTGCCGTGGAGTCGGCCGACTCATAGCGACCCCTCCTTGGGTTTCCGAGGCAGTATCACTACGAGGCAGTATCACTACGGAAGTAGGATTGCCCAACCTTCCTTCCGAGGAGTGGCTGGTGGGTTTGAACCGCCAGCCTTCTGGTTAGCAGTCAAGTGCCTTAGGCACTTTGCTACCAGAGCTCCCGTTAGGAGTATTAGTGTCTATCATATTGTAAATTGACGTTAAATACTAGATACTGTTGCTTCTCACTTGTATGAGTAGTCAACCCTCTCAAAGATGATAAAATTCTGTTTTACCAGGAGTATTTTTAAAAAAATGAGGATTTGAGAAAATTTTATTAATATCTAATAAAAGCTAGGGACTAATTATGATTTTTTTTTTAAAGCTTATTAGAGACTTAAAAGTTGACATATTTTTACACACATATGATTAATAAAATTGCATCTTAGATTCCCCTGTGTAAGAGATACTTGGATTCTAGCCATATAGGACACAAATTAGAACATTCTGTATTCTTAGTTGTACTTTTTCTTTTTTTAAACTTTATACACAAAAAAATTAGAACAATGAAAGGATGGTCTCCAGTCTACAGTTGTCAGCTGATAGCCAATCTTGACTTACCTGATCTAAGTTAGATTTCCATTCCCCTGCCAACCTCGATTTTTTTAAAAATCAACATGTAAGCATTCCATCCCCAAATATTTTAGTATATATCTAAAGTGAAAACATTAAAACTTCTACATCTAAGAAAAATACTTGACATTTAGGGATTTTTCAGTGTTCAAATTTCCTGTTTATTTGAAAACAGTTTTACTCAGGATTTTAATAAAGTCTATACATTGCAGTTGATTGATAGGCCCCCCGAGTTTCTTTCAGTCCACTGGCTCCTTATTCATTTTCAAAATTTTCCTCTACCATGATTTATTTGTTGAAGAAACTAGATCATCTCTTAAGGAGTTTCCTAGAGTGTGTTTGCCAATTGCATCCTTGTGTGTCAATTAACATGATCCTCTACTCTCATATTTCTTACAAACTGATAGAAGGTCTGGATGCTTAATGACAATCAGAATGTTGTCTTGCTGGTTTTGGGGGTAGTGTGGGTAGGGTATGTATGTGGAGGCACGTGATGCCCAGATATATATATTTTTTTTTTTTTTGGTGATGGTAACAGCCATAATGATTATTGTCTAGATCCATTAAATCAGTCTTCAAAATTAGTCTCATAAAGTATATTATGAACTAATGGGTTATAACTTTTTGGATGTATTTAAAGATGATGAGTTTTTTGTTTCTTCCTTAGGTTACCATAGACATGAATGAGCCAGTTCAGCTAACTTTTGCACTTAGGTACCTGAACTTTTTTACAAAAGCCACTCCACTCTCTCCTACAGTAACACTCAGTATGTCTGCAGATGTACCCCTTGGTAAGATAATAAAATTGCCATATCTTGTTTTTTAGGTAGTGTTTGTGATATACCTCAATAATTAACTATACTCTTATCTTCTTTCAGTTGTAGAATATAAAATTGCTGATATGGGACACTTAAAGTACTACTTGGCTCCCAAGATTGAGGATGAAGAAGGATCTTAGGCACCTTTGAAATCCAAGAAAATAAAACAAAGCTTTTTGAGAACTCCTTCTGAGATGCCAGCATGTACTTAAGTCTCTTCTGTCACCAAACCCTGTACCTCTGAGTACATATGTAGATATTGTTTTCTGTAAATAACATATTTTTTTCTCCACTCTTCAGAAATTTGTTTAAAGAATAAAGTCCAAATCTGCTCGTTAACCTAGAAATAGTTCTGCCTTACCTCGAAATAATCTTAATGCTTTTTATAACAAAAGGGTCTTAACTAAATACAGTTTTAAGAATGTTTTCAATTTAAATAAAGTTATTTGAATTTCAAATGTCATAAGACAGTGCCTTCATTTGGACCACCACTGTTGCAAATATCCTAGGGAATACTCATCTGAAGCTGCCTTTCCATGTAAATATGGTTATTTTTTATTTTTGTCTAGAGCAGCTTGATAAAAATATCAGAGCTAGCAAAAGAAAAAGTATTTCAAATACATTAGGAAATAAATCTGGTAAGTAGATATATTGGAGGATTCATATGCCAAGCTTACTTTGGTATTCTCACTTGAGCTCAAGCAATGGGTGGGGGAGAGTAGAACAGAGCCTATGTATTTTATCATTTTAGTTGGCAAAAATGAACGTTTTGGTGTATTCAAAGTTGGGTGGGCTTCATAAGACTAGCATTGTTGCAGGGTAGTATTTCTTCAGCCCAGGGAACCTTTTACTTGTAAGTGTGCTGGTAGTTTTGGTAGATCTGTGATGGGACCTTCAGTAGTCTTTTTTTTTTTGCCAAAATCTCTCTAGTATTTGAATTAGTGTTCTTGTTTTGGACACACTCCCTTGAGGGATGAGGCTTACCTCCCATGGTGGTTTGATTCAACCAAGTAAGTGGGGAGGCCCAGCAGTTGTGAAGAAAGGCTAACAAAAACTTAGTTGCTGTGCTGTAAGGTCATAAGCTAGTACCCTGTGTATTGAGATTTGCTTTATGAGTACTTTTTTACAGTGAATTTTTTTTTTCTTTTGGTAGTTTAAATGGCTTCTTTGTTGTGTTACTTGGACTGAATTTGTTATTGGACAGTAAAACTGTCCAGTAGGCAACTAAAATGTTGCTTATTATACATTATTGTGTGCCTGGTGTGGTAAGACAGGCTGCAGGACCTGATGGAACTTTTTGCAGTGATGGAAATACATCCAGGTGGTTCTGATGGTTCCAGGATTACATGTGTGTGTTAAAACTTACCCAACTGTATTTTATGTAAGTTAAATCTTTAATAAAACTGAAGTAAAAAACCTGTTCCTAAAATAAGTTCTCGAGTTTTGTGCAGCATAATCCTTGAGGAAGAACCTCTTACCCAGGGAAGGCCTGATGACCAGGAGGGAAAAGTGAAGCACCAGAGCACTAGGATATGGAACCTGTTGGCTCGGGTCCTCAGTATGGAGGGCTTCAAGGGCCTCTCTTACGAGTGCGCCCCTGCGCTTTCTACCCCAACTCTAAACAGTCAGAAAAGGAACCAAGTAGGTAGTTTGTCCCGCCTTGACTGTGACCCAGGTGGGCGGGGCCCCTAGACAAATGCCCGTGCCAACAGTGGGCGCGCTTTGGCCGCCGCGCCTCCGGAAATCCGAAAGGGTAACGCTCAGGGCCTGCAGTTCGCCAGCATTCAAGGCGGTCCAAATCCGGAGAAAACGTCGCTCCCGGTTACATTACTTCCGGCGCGCCGCCTTCCGACAAGCCACTTCCGGGGCTGTGCTTGTCGGTCCTGGAGAGGTGGGGAGGCCGCAGTTGGTTGGGGCGTGCCATGCGGCCTCGAACTCTTCAGCTGCCAACCGTGGGCGAGCTTTCCGCGCGTGGGCGGCCTGGCACCGCTCTCGGGTAAGGCGTACGTGCGGCGGGCCAGGGTCAGAAGCGTCCTCCTCGGGCTCCATAGTGGCCCAATCTGCCCTCCCCGCGGAATACAGCCCGGAGGTTTCAGTGTGAAGTGTTTCCTCTCCGGGTACACGGTTGGGCTGTTTCCGAGAACCGGTTTTGTTTGTGTCTCAATTCGTGTCGATTCTTTCTCTTCCGGCTCTGAATGCTGGCAGAAATATAGTGTGTGTAGAGGCATGTAGTGCCAAGCACTGCTAAGCACGATACTTTTTTTTGTTTTGTTTTTTTGCTGTATAACTTTATTGTTGGTAAGCAGCACGTTACTTTTAAAAAATCGTGCCACGTTTAGGTTCTGAGGGAGTTGCGATGAAGTTGATAAAAAGCCTCCTGGGAACTTGGACTAGTACTTTGAGAACACAATATATACTTACTTACTATCTTTTTGTGTTTTTGAGGAATTTTACGCATTCGCCTCTTCCCTCCTTTCTCCACCTTCTTTTGTTTTGATGCAGGTGTATGAATAATTAATGGAGAGTGTGAAATTAAAAAATTTAGAAAATGCAAGTCAGATATAATTAAATGCCCTCCAAAGCGCTGCATATTGGGAGTTTGAAGTTTTAAGTTTTGTAGAAGTAAATTTAGATTATTGTGTAATCAGGATGACGACACTTAAAAAACTAGAATTTGGTGCAATTTCATCCATCTCTTCTAGAAAAGAATACAAATTGGCGTTACTATTCCTTCAGTACTTAATTTCTGTACAAGTATTTAATAGCCAGAAAGGCACGTGAACATTTAGCATGATTCTTTCATAATGCTAGTTGTTTTACGTTGACTGAAAGTACTTTCATGTGGTTGTTGTTGTTCTGTGCCGTGGAGTTGGACCCGACTCACAGTGACCCCTCCTTGGGTTTCCAGGGCAGTATCACTATGAAAATAGATTGCCCAACCTTCCTTCTGAGGAGTGGCTGGTGGGTTTGAACCGCCAGCCTTCTGGTTAGCAATCACGTGCCTTAGGCATTACGCTACCAGAGCTCCTTTCATGTGCTTAAGTACGTATAAAATACTTAGAAAGGAGCTCTGGTGATGCAGTGGTTAAACCGTGCAGCTGCTAACCAAAAGGTGGGTGAACGCACCAGCTGCTTGGTGAGGGAGAGATGAGGCAGTTCTGCTTTTGTAAAAGTTTATAGCCTTGGAAATGCTACGGAGCAGTTCTTTATAGGGTTTCTGTGTCTACTCAGGGAGCTCTGGTGTAGTGGATAAGGCACTTGACTGCTAACCAGAAGACCAGCAGTTCAAACCAACCAGCCGCTCTGCTGAAAGAAGAATGGGGCCATCTGCTTCCCTAAAAATTTACAGCCTCGGAAACCCAATGGGGTTTGCCATGAGTCCAAACTGAGGCAGGCCACACCCAGTTTCGAGAAAGAAACTTAGAGAATGGAAACCCCCAGATAAGTCCCCCCCCCTCTTGCTGCCCCCCCCCCCCCGTAGGCATTCCCGTCCCTCTTGCTGCACTTCCCGCTTCTGTAAAACAACCCTGCTTGAGTTTTTCAGAAAAGAAATCAACCACCATATACCCCATGTACTCCGGAAACATACAAAGCCCTGTGTAACCTATGTTAACTCAGTCGCAGGATATGACTCCACAGAGCCAAGTGTCCACACAATAAAGTCCTTCCTTTAACCCATCCTGCTTGGCGTTAGCGTTTCCCTTGGCAGCTCTGGCAACAAAATGCCTAGATGGCAGTGAGTTTGGTTTTTTGGTGACCAAAAAACCCTCTACTCCATATACTTGATGGCAGTGCTTTTTTTTTTTTTTTTTTTTTTTGAGAGAACTTAGAACGGTGCCTAAGGAGCTCTGGTGCAGCATAAGGCATTTGACTGCTAGGAAGAAGCTTGGCGGTTGAAACGCACCAGCTGCTTTGTGGAAGGTAGATGAGGCAGTCTCCTTCCCTAAAGATTTACAGCCTTGGAAACTGAATGGAGTTTGAGTCGGAACAGACTCCATGGCAGTGGGTTTTTTTTGGGGGGTGGTGGTGGTTTAGAACAGTTCCTGGCATCTAACAAAACACTAGATAAATACTGTGCCATTAATATGATGATAATTACCAAAAAGCCAGTTTTAGCATTTTTATGTTCTTTATGTGGCTTTTATTAAAGTACAAGTAATCCCCGATTTATGATGTCCAGGCGTAAGTCAGTTCTGGCGTAAGTCGAATACTTGTTTTTTCCTTCCCCTTATTTCATTATTATGGTCTTTTACAATCAGTATCTTTGTAAATCCAATTTTTGTCTTTGGAAGTTGGAAACATTACATACAAACTTACAGATATGATGACATTAGCAAATTAGATGCTATAACGTTGTATGTAGTACATATTACTAACAATAAAACAAAACAAAACAAAAAAACTCAAACCAACTGCTGTTGAGTTGATTTGGACTTACAGTGACCCTGTCTGGTTCCCAAGGCTGTAAATCTTTATGGAAGTAGATTGCCTGATTTTCCTCCCATCTAACGCCTGGTGGGTTCCAACTGCTTACCTTTTGGTTAGCTGCCCAATCTCTTAACCACAGTTCCACCAGATCTCCTTATTACTAACAATAAGACATACCCCCCCCCCCCAAAAAAAAAGCCACAACAATGCCACTCGTCCTAACTAGAATACTGGTAAGTCAAGAGCTGCCTGTTCTTAATTTTTTGTTTTTCAATATATGCTTCACATTTAGAATTGAAATAGCTTTGTGTTCAAAATAGATGTACTGATTTTGTTTCTATAACTTTGTTTATGGAGGGAGAAAAAGTGTACAAGGTACATGTAGCTACAGACATAACCTGGAAAATGGAATCACTAGTTTAGTCCTTGGGGAGGGGTAGAGAGGTGGGCATATGAGAAGAGATTGGTACATTACTGATCCTGAGTGGTATAGTAGCTTTTCCAAATTTACAATGAGAAGCTTTCTAGATCTTTGTTTTTGTTGTGTGCTTTCGAGTCAGACCTGACTCATAACAACCCCTTTGGGTTTCCGAGGTGGTATCACTACAAACGTAGATTGCTCAACCTTCCTTCTGAGGAGTTGCTGGTGGGTTTGAACTGCCAGCCTTCTGGTTAGCAGTCAAGTGCCCTAGGCACTACGCTACCAGAGTTCCTTTATCATTGGGGGGTAGGGATGATAATCCATTGTGCAGCACTGTGAATATATTAAAAAGCGCAAATTACTTTTTTTTTTTTTATGATACCCATCAGGGAAAACAGGTATAATGATTCCTCACCCCCTCTCCTTCCTCCCTGGGAAATAAGAGAATCATGTGAGCAGAGGCTGTTCTTGCTTCTACCTAAAGCAGGGGAAGCAGGCGGTTAGAACTGTAGCAGAGTGGTTGAAAGTGTGGACTTTGGTGTCCCATGAACCTAGATTTGAGTCACCATTCTTATACCTATCCTCTGTGTGACTTGGGAAAAATCAGGAAGCAGAGAACATTGTTGCAAGATAAATTTGAGGTCTAATCTTGGAGAATGCCTTGTCTGTTATTTCAGCAGGACAAATGAGAGTGGATACATAATGAGATTGTTTTTTCACTGTTAGAGGCACCTCAATAGCCTAAATTGCCAGGTGCAATATCGCATTGCAGCCCAGAACTCCAATATGTAGCATCTGTGAGTCCTGGACTCATTGTTGCCTGCAAACAATAAGATTTCCTCTGTTTTCAGAGTGTAGCTGTGTCTACGTGTTATGATGCCGTCTCGTACCAACCTGGCTACTGGGATTCCCAGTAGTAAAGTGAAATACTCAAGGCTCTCTAGCACAGACGATGGCTACATTGACCTTCAGGTAAATGCAGAAGGAAACTGGTAAGACTGGCTGGCTATGTTTCTACTGCATTGGCAGGAAGGACCTTCCAGGTGGAGGTTTTGCTAACTGTCCTTGGCGATTAGAGGGAGTGACTAGAAGGAGGCATTAGAGGGAAGGAAACTTATCGGAGATCCTTTCAGCCATAGCCTGTAGAAGGAAGGATCTTGGCAGGGCAGTTACAAATCAGTATGTTGTTGTTGTTAGGTGC